CTAGCGACGGATGTTGGGCTTCAATCGCTGGCCCACCTCGGTTTCTTTCGTTCGCTTCGCTGGACTGTCTGTGTGTGAGAAAAAAAAACGAATTTCTTGTTCTTTTTAACATGGTATATATACTCAGACGGTTATACATACACATATATTCACCCCTATAATCATACACACGCACACCCTATCCCTATTTTTATATTGTGATCCAAATTCAAGTAATCCCTCTGTTCCCATAATGTAGTGCATTTTTTTTTTCAAATATCAAACCTCCCAAACTTTGTCCAAGTTCATGGAGAAAAATATTTACAATTAGAATGTCAAATATATATATCATTAGATTCATCACAAGATGTTGTTTCATATTTCATAAATTTGGTATTGTAGATTAAATATTTTTCTCTATAACTTGATCAAAGTTTACGAAGTTTGACATTTTAAAAAATATATATGCACTACATTATGGAACAGAGGGAGTATAAAGATAAAGACAACTTCTGACGAGCGAGCGGAGTTAGGCCCCTCGTTGGTAGGCTTGGGCCGATGGATCAGTATTGACCTAGATCACATGTGTTATATATATATATATATATATATCCTTTGTAAGCCGTCGGACGGGATAAGTTGAGCAGTTGTAAATCCTATGCGTTTCTAAGGGCATCTCCAACGGCGGCCCACAAATTTTCTTCCTCATCCATCCGCTGGCAAGGGGGGGGGGGGCAGTTCGCGGACACAGTTGCGGGAGGCCACCAGCCAACACTGCCCGCATACATTTAACCACTCTTTGAACTAACCAGACAAAATACATGCAAACACGGCGGATTTCATACGAATGGGACGAAATTCATTATATTTTGGACATATTTTTAACTTAAAATGATACTGGACTAAGATAAAAACTAGTCTACGGCCGGTGCAGGCGGATATCCATTCCGACGACATGGATACCTTTGACTAATCCATGGCCAGCCACGACGGATCTTCATTGTCGTCCCCCTGCCCAGTAGGGGCGAGCCACGAAGGTATATGCTTCAGCACAAAGGGCGACTGGCTTCCCCACGGCTCATCGAAGTAGAACCGCCGGTTGATGCTTTAGCCGGAGAGGAAGGGTGCCTATGCTGCCCAGATCAGAGTTGGTTTTGGGGAAAGGGGCGACGGTGGCCTTCGAGAGGGCAAGACACCGGCGTCGCCTCGGCGGTGGCCTCCCGTGTTCTACTTCTCCTCGATGATGGCGGCGGCCACGGGCGTGCTGGGCGTCGTCTCGTCAATGTCCACATAGCCGGCTTCTTTCTTCACGCGCGGATATCCATTCTGATGACATGGATACCTTTGACTAATCTACGACCAGCCACGGCGGATCTCCATTGTCCTTCCCCTGCCCAGCAGGCATGAGCCACGAAGGTATATGCTTCAGCACAAAGGGCGGATGGCTTCCCCACGGCTCATCGAAGTAGAACCGCTAGCTGATGCTTTAGCCGGATCAGACTTGGTTTTGGGGTAGGGACGACGATGGCCTTCGAGAGGGCAAGACATCGGCGTCGCCTCGGCGGTGGCCTTCATGGGACCCAAGCGGCGGTGGCCTCCCGTGTTACTTCTCCTTGATGATGGCGGCGGCCGTGGGCGTTCTGGGCATCGTCTCGTCAATGTCTGCGTAGCCGGCTTCTTTCTCCATCGGTAGGGCGCGGTTACGCGCGCGTTGACGATGGATGGAGGGATCGCAGGCACGGGAGGCACCGTACGACACGACGTCATCCACGACAGCCAAGATGTTCGTGCTGCCATCCCCCACCCCTCCTGCCGGCCTGGAGCAACTCGCCACTCCTCGGCAAGCTGAACCACGCGCCGGCGTGGAGCTTCAGCCTCCGCGAGCTGGCCTGCAACGGCCTGGAACGCCGATGGAGGTGGAACAGACAGTTGGCTGGCTCGCCAGCTTTTATGTTGGAGAATTTTTCTTCCTACTAGCAAGATGCCCGTGCGTTGCACGGAACATTAAGATCTTGTGGGAGAAAAGGATGAACAAGGGAAGGTATTATCTGCAAATGTGGAGAGGAGTGCAGGTAAATTGTCATAGTTTCCTTCCTATCCCTTAGATATAGATCGGACAGTCTATATTGCAGGATGGCAGGCACACCATCATCACCAACTCTGCTTTTTATAAGAGTAGAGACTCGTCGGATGCCATGGAGGAAAATGTTAAAGGAGGAAATGGAGAGCGAAGGTGTGGTGCGGTTCTTGTCGGGCGTCTCGCACCGTTTAAATAGCGAGCGGATGTGAGGAGCCAACCGACTTGTGAATAATGATGGCCACCTCGAGAACGGACGTGTGACCGAAGTAGGTATCTCATCACACGGGTGGGTTAATAGAGGACAGTGGGCAGACTTCAGCCATTTGGATGCGACGAGGAGGCGTGCTCACCTGAGCGTGCAGCAGGCGGCGCCCTCGACCGGCGTGCCGTTTCAATGGTAGAGGCAGTGAGAGGTTGCGTACGCTCTGATCCGGCTTCAATGTGAAGCGGCCGCTCTACAACGGCATAAATGCGTGCAGCTGGCACCAGACGGGAACACGCGCTGGCAAGGTATAGGGGGTTGGGGTGGGATCAGGATGGTCTGAAGCGGGCGTCAGTGTTGTCCAGACGCCCGCAAAGCCCCCCATATTTGTCTCCGGATTACGGGAGAAAACACGTCCGGATCGCTAGGCGGATCGACACATACCTTCTACGATCTGGGGTTTTCCACGTTAAATCCTCGTGTCTCATGTGTTGATTTTGACCTTCGTCATTTGATTTGCTTGTCGTACCTCTAACACCTGCTCCACCAAAGATGCCCCCGTGCTGTGGAACTGTGGCGAGCCATGGAGAAACATTGGAGCTTGCCGGACCTAAATTCTGTAAGGCCGACGGGTATTGAGTGGCTGTTCGACGTGTTGTACCCCATGCAGGCTGATGATCGCGTGACGGTCCTTATGGTGTTGTGGCACGCTTGGCATATCAGCAATGAAATCGTCCATGAGAAGAGGCCTCCCCCAGTGGAGGTATCATACCGGTTTCTGCTCAGCAATGAAGCATCCCTGGCTGCTATCCAGCGAAACCCGGACGGTAATCACATGAAGGGCAAGATGGTGCTTGCGCCCGCTGCAAGGATGGCACCGGCAAGGCATCAGGAGAACGCACCAGTGCCAGACAGCATGTGGCAGGCCCAGCTCCTGGGCGTGTTAAACTGAACGTCGACGGTTCCTACTGCCCCGCCTCTGGTGGTGCGGGTGCAGGCATGATCTTGAGGGACAGCAATGGAGCGATCATTTTTCCGGCATGCAGAAACCTTCTCTTCTATGCAGATCCCTTGCAAGCAGAGTTGGTGGCTTGTCTCGAGGGCCTCAATTTTGCTATGCAATGGTCTCCTTTGCCTGTGGACGTGGAGATGGACAGCCTGATTGCTGTGCAGGCTATCCAGTCAATGACTGATGATAAATCGCAACATGCGATGATGATTACTGAAGCTAAGAGACTTCTTGGTGAAAGGGGAAGCTCAATTGCTCATATTAGTAGGAGACAAAACCGTGTTGGGCATAGACTAGGTGAATTTGGTCGAGTAGAAGCTAGGACTGCCGTATGGTTAAAATCAGGACCTGCTAATGTACTGGAACTTTGTATGGAGGATCTTCCTCCAAGTTGAGCAATGAAATTCCTTTTGACCCCGCAAAAAAAAGGTTCTAAATTTTATATTCAAAATTTCCGACGATAAAAGACATCTGAAAAAAATTTACAACCAGATTCTAACAAAACCAAGCAAAACTCAATCTCCACAAAAATGGACTATATGTCACTACAGGCGCGGAACGTCCTCTGCAATGGTAGAATCAGATTCTACTACTCAGGTGCAGGCTGTTAACAGAGAAGGATATGACCGGTCAGGTAGATTGACTTCTTTGCTCGTTTAAATCTTGTCAAGTTCAAAGTAGCAGACGGTCAGGTAGAATCGGATTCTACTACTCTGGCTGCAGGTGGTGCACAACCAGGCCATGCCGCCACTGCAATTCTGCAAACCTGCTGGTTTGGCCGTTTGCTTGGCCAATTATACCCAAAAAAGAAGGTAAATAAGAACTTGCAGTTCACCGACTGTGACAGCAACAATTTAAAGCAGAGTAAACCAGTCGCATCAAAGCAAATACGAGCGTGACATTAGAACCAACAACACATAATACCAGTGTTACAAACCATTGCTGCGCTGCTACTCGACATTCTTCAGATGCTGCTGGAGCTAGGAATACATTCTTAAATCAACTAGGAATCAACAGATCAAGTGCATACAAGAGCTACAGCTAACTTCTTTTCTTTTTTTTCTTTTTTTTTGCGGGGAGAGCTACAGCTAACTTACAGTACTAGAATAAAGGACAAGGCCATCATCAACTCATATCATCATCAGAAGATAAACTCCGGACTGTTGCTGGATCG